TGCTCATTCCTAACTCAGCAGTGACTCCTGCCAAAAGTCAACCCCACTTTTTCTGCAGGGCCAGCTCCCCTCAGCCTCACTGTGGGGTCTGATCAGCCTTTCCAGCTGGGAAAGCCCTGAAGGATGTGGAGATTTCAGGGATGCATTTTTATGCCAAGGACAAGCTTATGGGTGTGTCTGGACTTGCCCTCAGAAGCCTCTAAGGATGGCACCTGAAAATGTGTCACCAGCCTTACTCAAAGATGAGGGGAGTGGTGTTCCTCTTGAGTAAGAATCAGAATGATTGACAGTTAATCATCTCCTTTTTCTCTTAAGCCTTACAACTAGGAAAAGTATTTAAATCATTAACTGAAAATTGAGATTGGAGCTAACTGCAGACTTCCACAGCTTTTTTATTTAAAATATAGGCATCATGTTTCACATTATTCTGGTATTTTGTTTCTCACCCCAGGGTTCTCAGAAATAACTCCTAAGGATTTTGTAACTTGACTCATTTTCAGGCATACTGCCACTGTATCATAGATCAACAGTTTTTCTGTTCAGACCCACAGGTTGCCATGTGGGCCTTTCCAGTGTCTTTAAGATTTTCTGTATATTTTCCAAACAATAAAATTATTATTTCTATATTTACATTTTTCAAAAATCTTATCTAAGCATAAAGCTATGTCTCCTTCCTAGAAATGCTATTTGGGTTTACATTAAAAAAAAAACAAACCCAAAACTCTTCTGGTAACTGATGTTGTCAACTTTTTCAGTGGGAAAAAATGATCCTGAGGGTCAATACAAAGAAAAACTTAGTATTAAGTTTAAATTACCTGCTTAGAATTCAAGGTCGAGAAACAGAAAGAATGAGAAGCTTGTGTTTGGGGAAGTTTACTTTTAATGATTTCATAGCTTTGATTGATTTTGTCTTCTATTAAATGGAGCATGATTTTCCACCTGCACAAAGCTTATGAAATCCACTTAGGAAGACACAAAATCCATAACGGGCAGAGAAAGGCAAAAATATTTCAAATTTGCCAGTGAGCAGCTGAAAATCAGAAAAGGAGAAAAATGATGGAGATGTGAAACCTATAAAATCTCGACATCCCACTAGGCCAAGCAGAACTACAGGGTATTGGAAAATACAGCTAAGTACATATGGAATGAATTCTGAAATTAAACCTGTCTACACTTTTTTTTTAAATGCACTTTTCTTAAAGTCTCCAGAGTTGGTGTTAGACCTAACTCAGGATTCAATCAGCAGTCTCAGACTTTCTCCCTGATAGCACCTCCATTGAAATAGTTTATTCCAAACAGTCTGAAAATGTTTGCTTTCAAAATACATGAATTCTGTACCCTCAGAGGGCATAACACTCTGTAGCTGCTTTGCTTGATACAGAATTTTTTAGAGGAGGTAGGAACTGGGAAATAGGCTTCAGTTTTTCAAGAAAGTCTAGACACGGTACAAGAAGAAGAAGGAAAGATGAAAAAAATCTTATTTACAAATGGAAGTTTAGCAATCTTAAACTAAAAGAAAAAGAAAAGAGATAATATTAAGTTTTATTGTTTTAAACAGGGTGATTATATATCATGTTCCAGTGATTGAATTCTCTCAGAAATGTTACTGACAATAAATAAAGCTATCCCAGTGAAACGTTATGATTCTAGTGTTATGATTACAATGAATAATGCAGAGAGTCAATTAAGTAGATGTGTTAATTATACATATTTACATTTCCAAAGACTCCTTTCTTCTCTCATCGCGATCACAGTTGGAAATACATTGTCTCACCACTGAGTGGAGCTCCTTACGTATTTATTAGTGGAGTAAAGCTCTAGCAGAGCTCCTGTTGTGAGGTGACCTAGGGATGGTTATTTCAGTTTGTGCCTGGCAGCTGTGTGGACACAGCACTCAAGAAGTTACTAAATGCTTAATTCTCTAAAATTTGTTAGCTAAATAGGTAAATGGAAATCTCCAAGACACAGCAGGAGGGCAGAATCTTTGTTAGCAGAACTCAAATATGAGTTATGAGTTATTTTAATGAATGGCAAAACATTCAGTGTAGTCTATGGACACACCGATGTTACCTACCTCTGTTCTTTTTTTTTATTTTTTATTTTTTTATAAATGCCCTGCACTACTCTGGTAATTTCGGGGGCAAAAAAAGAAAGAATAAGAGAAGGACTTGGTGTTTGCTGAAGGATGATGTGTTATCGATGGTGCATGCAGATATGTGAGAGAAATTGCAGATTGTGTTGCTGGGTTTCCACCGGGGGGATAATTAAAAATGAGTGCCAGCCTTGAGCAGTCAATTATCACTGAGTAACAAGATGAAAGATAAAAGGCAGATGTAATCATATTTCAAAAATAATACATCAGTGTGCCTCTAGTCAAGGAGTCCTTTCTACATCAGCTTTTCACAGCAAGTGACCATTTTTTTTTTCTAGTTTCCTGCAGGTTTTTTTTAACATTCATGTAGGGAATGTGAGTGCTGGACCACGGCCACTCTTCTGGTGGATGTCCCTGGTAGGAAAGTCTACTGCAGTGTATCCTGAGAATATTTGGGTAGGATCTGGGGATCCACTGCCTTTCCTTGGGTTTCTGTGTGTGCTAGAGGCCAAGGGGATTAGACAGAGAAATGGGATGTAGAGGAGTAGGGAGGAGGGTGAAGAGGAGTTTGAGGCAGCAGCAAGGAGAAATGGAAGCTGGATAGGAGGGGAAATGGGAGATTTATCATTTGTGTACCTCACAGTTGCATTTGTACCTTGTTTCCTGTCACTTCTGGGGACGTCACATACAAGATCGCTTTTTAACCACCAGGATCTCAAAACTATTTGCTCCTACGAGAAGAACATCGTTCCTAACATTGTCATTCCCATCTGTCTGGAGGGCAGGGATCCAACACATTCAGGGCGTGCATCAACCACAGAATGATAAAACCAAAGAGAGATGTTTCAAATTGTTTTATCTCTGCCATAATAGCTTCTCTGCTCCTCAGGTTTCAGGTCCCTTTCTGTCTTTTGAGAGGTAACAGTTGGTCGTTTTGGCCAGATAGAGAGGAGAGGTGAAAAGGAAATGATTCCCCAGTTTCTATCCAAATGTCTTCAGAGCATAGTGTTGCTAAAGGTAACCTTCAGGAAATAAAGGAATGTAAAGTTAAAATGTACATAATATTATTTTTCTGCTTCTTTTCAAGCCTCGTGTTGGACCCCCTTGATATCTCAGGCCAGCTAAATAAACATTTACCTCTGCAAAAAGAATTTCAATTCATAATAAAACCAAACCCAATTGTAAAGCTCTGCTAAAGAAGAATTAAAATTGCCTGCCAGTTTACTTGCTTTCCAGGGAACAGCTTAGCAAAATTCTTATTCTCTAAAGATCATCACCACTGTAATACCTCTCTGTGAGCTTACTGTACTGTAAGAAACAGCAAGACAAATGTACAGGAAGGAGCTTTAGCTGAGCTGCTTCATGATTGTAGGCTGCTTTGATGTTTTCACTTGCAAGATGTTTTTCACAATGCAA